ATACAAAAATACAGCCAGATAGGAGGAATAGTATCTATTATTCTATAGCACTGTAAGGTGACTATAATTAACGACAATTTATTGCATAGTTCCACTTAGCTAGAAGAGAGGATCTTTAATGTTCACAACACAGAGAAACGACAGATTTCTTTGTTTGAAGTAATGGGAAAAAAATCAGTGGTTGCCAGGGTTTCGGAGGAAGAGGCAAGGAGGGAGAGGAGGGATGAATGGGCAGAACACAGAGGATTTTTAGGGTAGCAAAACTATTCTGTATGATACTGTAATGGTGAATACATGACTTTATGCATCTGGCAAAACCCATAGAACTGTACAACACAAAGAGGGAACTCTAATGTAAAACTGAGGTAATAATAATATATCAATATTGGTTCATAATTGTAATAAATGTACCACACTAATGTAACATGTTAATAATAGAAGAAACTGTATGTGTGGGGTGGAAGGATATGGGAACTATCTGTACTTTCTACTCAATTTCTCTGTAAACCTAAAACTGCTATGAAAATAAAATTTATGGGCCGACCCCGTGGCTCACTCGGGAGAGTGCGGTGCTGGGACCCGTGGCTCACTCGGGAGAGTGCGGCGCTGGGAGCGCAGCAGCGCTGGGAGCGCAGCAGCGCTGGGAGCACAGAGGCCGCAGGTTCGGATCCTATATAGGGATGGCTGGTGCGCTCAATGGCTGAGCGTGGTGCCAAGGGTTACGATCCCCTTACTGGTCATGCACACACACACAAAAAGAAAGAAAATAAAGTTTATTAATAGGAACAAAAAATAAATAAAAAAGAAAGGGAGAACAGATAAACTTTTTTGTTCCATTCATATAATGGAATACTACTTGACAATAAAAAACAAGCCACCAATAAATGTAAGAATGTGGATGAATCTCAAAACGTTATACTACATGAAAGAAGCCTTACATCAAAGAGTACATATTATATGATTCATTTATATGAACTTCCTAGATAGGCAAAAGTAATCTAAGATGGAAAGAAGTCAGAACTTCTGGGAAGGGTGGGGTGGAGATTTACTGGGAAAGAGCATGAGAGAACTTTCTGGGGTGATGATAATACTCTATATCTTGATCAATGTTTGAGTTTCATAGATGTATGTATTTATCAAAAGTCAACACACATATAGAAGATTTATGCATTTCACTATAAAGCGAAAAAAGGTTTAACAACTTGCTATTTGGCCTCATCTATGTTTCCTGGCTTCTGAGATGCCATTTTCATCATGTGACGAAGCATATCGTCAATTAAGAGAGAGAAGAAAAGAACACGAAATAGAACATTTTTATTAATACTTTCAAGGACAACACTAAAGAAACAGACTCTTCTATTTAATTAGCCAGCTGGTGCCATTGAATACATAGGGTCTCATTGACTTTAGAACACAGAAGTGCTGAGAGCCTTTTCAGGTACCTTTTGAACCAGCAGAGGATATTGAACACTTGACTCCGGTATTAGTCCCTTTCTGTTGCTTGTAACAAAATACCTGAAACTCAGAACCATGCCCCTGACCACCATTTTTAACCCATTCATTATGGCATGGTCCTACAATCTAATCACCTCTTCAAGCCTCTACCTTTCAATTACCAAAATAGAATTTCCCACCCTCTTAGCAGTCACAGTGGAGCAAAGTTTCTAATACATAAAATTTGGGGGACACTATTCAAGCTTCAGTGAGTTTTGGGGGGACATAACTCAATCCACTACAGCAAGAGAGCTGGGACACTTAGAGACGTTCCTACCTGGGAACAGACTGGAATGTCTTTGGGCCCTAAGGAAGGTTTTTAGGACAGAGAAGTACCTCTTAGTAAACTCACTAGTGCAGTAACAGATTTAATTTTGATTTATACCAATACACAGATGATCTGTCCAATGCTGAGAGAGGGGTGCTCAGGTCCCCCACTATTATTGTGTTGGAGTCTTCTGCACAGCAAAGGAAACAATCAACAGAGTGGAAAGACAACCTACAGAATGGGAGAAAATATTTGCAAACTACACATCTGACAAGGGATTAATATCCAGAATATACAAGGAACTTGAACAACTTCATAGTAAAAAAACAAATAATCCAATTTTTAAAAAAGGGCAAAGGAGATAATAAACATGTTTCAAATGAAGACATACAAATGACCAACAGGTACATGAAAAAATGCTCAACATCACTAATCATCAGGGAAATGCAAATCAAAACCACATTGAGATATCATCTCACTCACTCCAGACTGGCCATTATGAAAAACTCTGAGAATAACAAATGCTGGGGAGGATGTGGAGAAAGGGGAACTCTTCTGCACTGTTGGTGGGACTGTAATTGGTACAGCCATTATGGAAAATGGTATGGACATTTCTCAAACAACTATACATAGAACTGCCATATGATCCAGCAATCCCACTTCTCAGTATATACACAAAGAAATGGAAATCATCGTGTCAAAGGGATACCTGAACTCCAGTGTTCATCACAGCTCTATTTACAATAGCCAAGATATGAAACCAACCTAAATGTCCATCAATGGGCGACTGGATAAGGAAACACAATGGAATACTACTCAGCTGTAAAAAAGAATAAAATTCTGCCACTCGCAGCAACATGAATGAGCTTGGAGAAAATTATGTTAAGTGAAGTAAGTCAGTCACAGAAAGAGAAATACCACATGTCCTCAGTCATAAAAGTGGGTGCTGGGAAGGAAGGAAGGAAGGAAGGGAGGGAGGGAGGGAGGGAGGGAGGGAGGAAGGAAGAAAAAAAGGAAAATAAATATTGAACTCTGGTTAATGATAAAAACGTTGAGTTATTTAGGGTGAACTACACTGATGTCTACAATTTACTTTGAAATACATGAAATTGATGGATAGATAGATATTATTTCTAATAAAATATTAGAAAAAAAATTTACCAAAAAAAAAAGGGCTGGCTGGTTAGATTGGATGGTTACATTGTGGACCTGATAACACCACCATCCAGGGTTTAATCCCTGTACCAGCTAGCAGATTAAAAAAACATGAAAGGTACCTGCATCCAAAGATATTTATATTGTCAACCAAAAGGAATTATAGCAGCATCCCTATCTCTGTAATGTAAAAGTTTTGTTCAGCTCATACCCAATTTGGCAATTACTCTTCCCACTACAAAAACAGATATTATAAAACTTTCCTGCAGCAATAGGCCTCAGAGGCAGTCTGCATGAGGAGAGATACCGACAAGCTGATCAGAAAGCATTCAGTAAGAGACAGAAAAGAAAGGGCCGAGCCCGTGGTGCACTCGGGAGAGTGAGGCGCTGGGAGCGCAGCAGTGCTCCCGCTGTGGGTTCAGATCCTATATAGGGATGGCCAGTGGGCTCACTGGCTGAGCGTGGTGCGGCTGGTCTCAAAAAGGACAAAAAAAAAAAAAAAAAAAAAAAAAGAGACAGAAAAGAAAGCTGCAGTAACATGCAAACACAGAGAGGGTGTTAGAGGCTGATAGCAAGTATTTTCCAGGACCTAGTGCTACCATTTACTAGGGACTTCTACTGGATCTTTACAACAATCTTGTGAAGCAGGGAGGACTCTGTAACATGCCAGGCTCAGGACAGTAGAAGTCCTCCCATTGAAAGTAGTCCCTATACCTTCAAAAGAGCTCCTACCACAACAAAATGCTGGTCACCAGATTATTCTGGATCTGTTGAGTATTTCACCATTCCACAAACCCATCATGAATTTTGGCAGCAATTACCCTGAAACCACATTGCTTATTCTCACCTACTTTGTACTCTTAACTCCATCTTTACCCTATTATTATAAATCCTTGGCTTTGAAGCCCTACTCGGCTCCTATCTCTGGCACTTTGGATTTAGTATTTTTATTGGTCTCTCTGGTGTCTGACTAAACTTTTCCTAAAGGACTTTGCCTTTGACTTGCCTGCCTGTTACTTTCTATTGAGACTTCCTGGGATATAACCCTATCTGGGCCCCTAGAATCTTACTCCTGAAACCATCTAGAACATTCCTTACCACACCTACTCCTCATTAGCCATCTAGTTCTTTTGCATTAATTCCTCATCTTCCCATCTTAGCTTTGTACTTAGATTGACAACTCAGACCTCAGTTGTCCCTATCCTCATTCTGATTTTGCATTCTCCAGCTCTTCATGTTATTCTAACTAATATTCCTTTTTATCTAATCTTAGCCAGTCTCTTATTGATGGCTTTGCTCCTTGTTTCTCAGCACTGCCAAACAGAGGGAACTCAGCTTCCACAAATCAGGCAGTGGACAAATAGGGAAAATTGATACTATCAATTCCCATTTAGAAGAAACTGATATTCAGAGAGATCTAATAATTTGCCTATGTTTCCATAACGAGTGAGCTGAAAATTTGTAATCTGAACCCAGGTACCATGATTCTACTATCCCTTTCAGCTTTTGGGGAAGTACCATAGTCGTAAGAAGAATTATAGTAACAATAGTATTTATTATCATCATCAATAATAGTTATATTTATATAGCACCTACTTCTGCATTCTCATTTAAACCTCACCACAACCCTATGAAGCATCTCAATGCTGTAACAGAGCAGATACTTAGTAAGCACCGTTGATTCATGAACAAACAAATCAACAAAAACTTTCACTATTTTCTTCATTTACAGATGTGAAACCTAAGGCTCATACTTTTACCAAGGTTAAGCACCTAGATAAAGATTTGGAACCAGATTGGTCTGACTCCAAAACCTATACTTTTTCCACTATTTCACACAGCACTTCACTCCCAATCATAAAAGAATATGGTGTCACACATCCCAATAGAAATCACTTTAAGGGAATTCTCAACTACTATATTCTTAATACAATAAAATAGAATATAATAAAAATGCAATTAGGTTCCTTATTATCAATAGAATATAGAACTGTAATTTCATGACTTTCTCAAAAGTCGATATAAATGCAATTCTAATATGAAATTCAAAAGGAAACTGGGCTGCTCCAGTGACAGCTGTAACCTGATTTTGGACAGTAGTTCTCCTCTCTCTGCACAGTCCACGCTGACTTGTCGGATCAGTTCATGAAATACTGTATTGTAAATGGTCTGTTCCTTCTTCAATATATGCAGTAGTTTGTGCATCTGTCAGAAGATAAGTAACATGATCAGACTTATACAGTCTTAACAATCAAAGCCATTTTAGGAGGCAAGTGCTCTGAATGTGAATAAGTTTTAGAAACACCTTGATTAATTTATTTCACTTACATTTTCATATATATGTAAAAGTGAGATATAATTTTTAAAAATCTGTCTAATCATGTGCCTCTTTAAATGACATGCTGAGAAGGTCATAATATCACTTTCATGTCATACCTGCCAAAAATACAAAACCTTAACCATGAGCACTAAACCTTAATCTAATCATCAGACAAACCGAAAATGAGGAACATTCTACAGAATAACTGGCCTGTGCTCTTCAAAATATTAAGGTCAAGAAAAACAAAGAAAGGCTAATGAACTGTTTCAGATTAAAGCTGTCTAAAGGAACATGACAACTAAAAACACCACGTGATCCTGGGATCCTGGCGTAGGGGGAAAAATAGTATAAAAGCTATTGGGACAATTGATAAAATATGAAATTTGAACACGAACTACTTTAGATAATACTATCATGTCAATGTTAAATTTCCTGATAAAATGTTAATTTTCCTGAACTATATTATGGATATGTAAGAAGATTTCCTTGTTTGTAGGAAATATACTCTGAAATATTTGGTGTTAAAGAGGCATAATTTCTCCAACTTACTCTAAAATGGTTTAGAAGAACTATGCATATACATATAGATAGAGAGGGAAAGAGAATGATAAGGCAAGTAGGGCACAATGTAAACCATTGGATGGAGAATCTGGGTAAAGATTACATAGGAGTGCCTTGGATTGAACATTTTCTGTAAAATTCTATACAAATAAAAATTTACAAAAGAAGAAATAGCTCTAGGGGCCGGCCCGGTGGCGCACTGGATAGTGCGCCGCTTGGGAAGCGTGGCGGCGCTCCCGTCCGAGGGTTCGGATCCCACGTACAGACCGGCTCCCGCTCACTGGCTGAGCGAGGCGCGGGAGCAACGCCGAGGCTTGCGATCCCGTCGCCAGTCCCCGGCCCGGGACGGGGGCAACACTGAGGGGTGCGATCCGGTGCCCGG